TTTCTTAATATAGTGTATTATATTACGTTAACCCAAAATATTTTAAAAAATAATAATTCATGTGAAGCCAAATTTTAGTTTGATAGTCCAAAATTATATATTATTCAAATTTAATAGTCCAAATTGTATTGTTCATCAAAGTTAAAAACTGTAATAGTACAAAATGTATAGCCGAAAGAAATTTATTATTAATGTAAAGTGTTTTTTTTTTTTTTAACGTCTTGGACAATGTTAAACAAACTCGGTTACAAAAAAATAGAAAAAGTAGTTTGTTACTTCGTAGAAGTTATGACACCAAAAATGCTAATGCTGAATTGGAAACTGACGTGGAGGAGTTGAGAAAAAAAAAATGTCAGCCAAGGAGAAAAAGCAAAACCGAAGGTCTGACTAAAGTCTTTTGTTTTCTTTATTTCGTTGTTTCTTTGGTTATTGTTTTCCAAAAAAGAAGACTAGTTTCCACTGCACTTACTTTTATTTAAATCAACGAAAACGAAAACCAAAAAATTATAGTCGAAACTACCTAATAAAAATCTTTGTGTTTTTGTGTGTTTACAGCTCCTCACTTGGCGAGTCGGAAATGAGTTCATAGCTTGAGCCTTGAAGTATCAACTTCGGTTATACAATTCCAACAACAACAAAAAAACCTTCGGTTATACAATCGACGCCATTGTTCAATATTTGATTTTGTTTTTTGCTAAAAAAATTAAATGTCAATGTCTGATTTTTATATATTGTTATTATATATGCTATTTTATCAAATAAAAGAAAATTTATAACTTACTAAAACTTTAAACAAACGATAAACGAATATTCATATTACAAATTAATTAAATAAATCGATGTACATAAACATAAAATATCTTGGAAAATAGTAAAACACACAACCTAAAAACTAATCGGAAATTATTCTTTACAATTTGATTATTTTCTTTGTCTTTTTTATTATTTTCAATTTTGATTATAATTTATTATTCTTTACAATTTGATATCCAATTATCTATGTTTTTTTTTTAATTTTTTCATAATAAAAAATACATTATACT